TAACATTATGATTGGTATTACATATGAAATTAATTGTAGTTGACAACAAAGATTGTTTGCGGAGAGTATCGAATTTACCACCTGTATAAGGTGCACACGTCAACAAATTGCTGACTATTCACGACTACAAACGTCGCTCTGAGGCTCTTATGATCGTTCATACGAACACAAGGCTGATACTCGCCGCTGAAAAATCAAGGTGTTATTAAATTATAAAAAAAGTTATAAAAAGGTTAACCTACGTCAAGATATGATTAAAATTAGTTGGATTATATGGTAGTGTGTTTTTTTTTTGTTGAATAATTGTATTGGACTTTAACTAATTCATCAGACGGATGACAAAGGTATTAACTTCACCAAGAAATTTATTTGAAAAGCTTTCAGAGTAAACATTAGTGTTGGGTATTGTAGCACAAACTAAGGCCTTTTCTACTTTATTACAGTGTATGAGCGGTGAAAAGTTAAGACGGAAGGTCTCAATGTATAAAAGTTCCAAATCATTTATCGTTATAGGTGAATTTACTTTAGACAGAATATATTTCACTTTAATATAAAAATGTGGTTCATTTCTGAGAGTGACCGCGAGGGCCTGTGTATTAATCATGGTGTATGTATATATATATATAAATATGTTTCTGGTAAAAAGGAACCGTGTTCCGGCAAACTTACCCCTTTAAGTCCTGGGCGATGAGATCTCGACGCTCTGGATCATTTGGGTTGGCGATAAATATTAAATTAAATTGGGCATATATATATATATATATGTATATGTATGTGTATGTGTATTAGTGCACTTAAAAATAATATTTATTTTGGGTGTAATTTATATCTTGGACATCGCGTCTTTCGCGTAACTATTAATTTTCTTTTCTCATAAACACTGAACAGACAATTAAAAAAACTATGAGAACATGGCGGGAATAAAAGAAAGCGGCACTCGGTCATCCAGGTGAACTCCACGGCGGTGACTTCTCGCTGAGCTTCGTATTACACATGCACGTTCGTTGTGGTGGCTGGATTGGGTTTTCAGTGTTGTTACTGATAATTATTTGTTTGTTTTTCTGTTGTTTGGGTTCTTGTTGCGGTTGTTGATTGTTTTATTTTTGGTTTAGTTCACTTTATTGTTGGTGCTTAATCCCGGTTTCGCTCGGGCCAGTTAGCGGCAGCGGTTACGATCCTTTCTAAATCGTGTCCGTGATCCCGACGGAGTTGTACGGATCTTTTGTACATCCTGAGTCCTCGGAGGACTATAAGGACCATTATTAACACTGCTATCAGACACAAGACATTAAACACTTTTACAATTTCGTCCTTGTGGTCTACCACTTCGACATTATTTATAACATTGGCAGTGTTGCCTTCCGCTTTTGAAACTTTGGATCCCATTTTGCTGTTTTGGGTCCTTTACACGGAGTTTATGTGCAACGCGAAACGAGGATTCATGTTCCTGTTTGGAACTTTCCGTCGAACGGATTATTTTGTTCTTTGCGCTCGATTTGTAATAGTACCGGCCGTATCTGAGAATCTGACTGACTTCTCCGTGGAGTTTTAGTTCTTTTATACAGCAGCTGAGCTTTTCTTTTTGCTTCCGGGTTCTTATTTTCGTACCTAAGTGTTCCCATCTAGGTACTCATTTCCCCTTTTTCTAGCTAACTGGCACTCTTTGGATTTAGCTAGCGTCAGCTCTCGGGTTCATATCAGTCTTTCGTTGCTTTGCGGACCGCTATATTTTTCCATTGAATTGCCCAATTATTGCATTATATTGCATTGTGCAAATTTTGGTCTTTCTTTTCTCTTTCGCAACTTTAGAGACTGTGGCTTCTGCTGCCCCCTTTTTGACTCGCTTCCCGCCCTAACCGGCCCTCGTAACAATATATAAAGTTAATTACCTTTAAAATAAACATAGGTGACTAACAGAACTAACAATACTTTTGCTTACATCCTGGGCTGGTTTTATGGGCTAGCCATGGGCCCACAAATTATGAGCCATCATAAACTTTGGCATGCTGTTTGCAGTTGGCTCGCCAACAATTGGCACTTGCAATCAGAGCAAAAGTACAGGAGCAACTGCAGCACGCACTGCCGGCAAGTGAATGGCAGGCGGCAGTGGAAACGACAGGTAGTCCCCATTGGAAGTTGGACTAACTTTCGGCCAACGTAGGTGGCACTAGGACTGGACACTCGGAATGCCTGGCGGGGAATTCGGGGGGACACTCACTAACTGGCCAAGTGTCAAACTTGCCAAATTGAAAACGAAGTTACGATGCAATCGCCGATTTGTTTATGCTGCCGTTTTGAACCGAACGCAATTATATTTATTTTTATTTTTCTTTTTTTTCCTTTTTTACTGTAGTTTTGAAATTTAATGAAATATTACGCGCACGTGTCAGCGGAGCGATAAAATTTATTTACGCAGCATTGCGGGTCAAGTGAAAGCACATTTTTCTGCCGGGGCCTTCGGACCTTCAAATTGAATTTACGCTGGGATTTCTGCGACTCGACTCGGAGTGGCGAATTAAAAATCGAAACCGAAATCGAAATGTAAACCTGACTTAAAAATGGGCGTAGGGCAGTCGCATTGACACGCGGCAATATTTTAAATGTCAACAGGATGGAATGGGGCATCCCCCGATCCACCGATTCCGATTCCGATCCGAAACGATCCCGAAAAAGAAGGGGGCAATCCGCCTTGTCCCTGCCCAGTCGCATCAGAAATTCAATAAAATACCATTAAATTACAAAATGAAGACAATTCATTTTTCTTGTTTTCCTTATTTTGGCGATTCCCTTCGCGATGCGATTGCATTTTGTTTCTTTAAGCAGGAGCATTTACTGTCGCTTTGCGGTTATAAGCAATAAAGTATTAAAATCCTTCCTTCTGGCTTATAAATGTTGAAAGCGACATTTATCGTAATATTTTATGAAATCAGTGAATATTCGGTGAACGTTGCAACTTAGTTGCCCCTCGAAAAATTGACTTGCTGCGGTTTTGGGTTCTATTGTGCGGCTAGCCATAAAACTGGAATGACGAATGTTAGTTGGTCCCATGCTGAATCCGCAATTGAGGCTTAATTTATCTTGATGTACTTGCTGCTCTCAGTGGCTTGACAAGGTCAAAGATTATGGCTTCGATTTGCCGGTGATGTATTGGAATTGCTTATGTTCAATGACCTCAATGGTTCGGTATAGAGACATATATTATTTTAAGATTTTATTCCAGGGGATGAGCAGTTACAATACTTTGAAGTCTTGTATATTATGGAATAACTTGCCTATTTAATATAATAAAACAAGAGAAACCCCTATAGTCAAGTATAAGTGTTAGAGAGACTGAGATAAGCATCAAAGCAAATAGTCGCTTAAAAGTGGCGCCATATATCGGAAATGCATTATTTGCTCATAATCCGATTCAAAAATTTTCTTTTACATTTCAATAGGTATAATTATACTATAATGATACTATCACTATGGACGGCAGTCCATGTAGTGACGAAGCGCACCAGGAGAGTGTGCGAAGGCGACTACTATATATACACGAAGAAATGAAAATCTACTGTGATGGTGCGATCATAATGAATGATACACCTATCGAAAGGTATTGCGAAAACTAACAGGATTGCATACCAAGACTCTAAGAAAATAAATTGGCTTGGGAGAGAGAGCGGTGAAAGTGAAAAAGTGAAAATTTCGAAATTTGGAGCTGTTGGGGCCGGTGGGGATAAATGCCCCCTCGAAATGTTTTAGTTGTATTCCTTTTGAAAATACCCGTCGAATGAGGGGTCATTTGTCAAAATCCGACGCTCCGTTCAAAAGTTATAGCCAAAATAAGATTTTCTTCGTCTTCCCAAAATGAAAATTTAATTCTGTTTGTCAGTTTGTCAGTTTGTCAGTTTGTCAGTATGTCAGTTTGTCAGTTTGTCAGTTTGTCAGTTTGTCCAAAACATGTTTTTTAAGTTTTGAAAATTTGATATGACGTTCATGACATCGATATAAAAAACTTTTGTTCTACCACTTTTGGAAAAACTCGCTAGTTTAGCGGGAAAACAGCTATAAATAGCTAAAATTCGGAAAGCCGTAACTTCTATACTACATTTCTCATTCGTCACGCTGCAATAGAAAATTCCTGTAAAGGGAAAAAGGCTGGAATAGTTTGCTAGGGCGGGCCGAATGAGAAAAGATTAGAAAGTCTATTTAATGACGAGTGTAATAATTTTTCGTCACAAATGTTGATATCAGAACTTTTGTATGTTGAAGGTGCGGTCGTCACTAGTTTTTTACCTCGTTAAGAGGTGTTTTTAATTGATAATACAATACATGTAAGGGGTATTATTTTAACTTTACATTTTACAGAGCATTTCGAGGTAATAGCAATCCCTTCAAGGGATCATAATTTCGGGCATAATGGAATACCAGAGCCGGGGAAAAGGAAAGGAAGAATAATGGCCAAGGGTTGGCCAGGGCAACGCCCATCACATACTACCGAATCGAATCCGGGGCGATTTTTCTTATTGCCTTCAACTTTGCACTGCCATGGCCCAGAAAAAATAAAAAGCAGAAAACAAGCAAGAAAACGAAATTACTGCGAGCAAGGCGCATTTTCAATTAATCAAGGAAATTAATTAAGGCCCGTGGATGGATGGTGGTTTCAGCGGTTCGGTGGTGCAGATTCAGTGGTTCAGTGACCAGCCAGCGGGCAGCACGCTTGCCGATATTGCAACATAATTTTCATTTGGCTCAGCATGCGTTTTCATCGTCGCGGTTATCATTTGGACACTTGGACTGAAACTGGGATTTAAGTCTCGGATTCGGATTTGGAGCTGGAGCCTGGTCAATTAGCACGCATGTAGCTCGCCGGGCGTTTGGCGGGGCGATAATTAAACGCAGGTCGCTTGGAGTTCGGTTGCCAATTTCCAAACCGCTGGTGACAATTGGCCACGATTTATGCACGGTTCCTCGGACTCGATTGCGCAATATATTTTTTCCAAATAAATTTTCGCGCCTAATCGCGAGCACCACAAAATGCTACATGCTGCGCCCCGGTCGCCTAGGTTAATGGGTAATCGGAGCGGTCGACTAGACCTCCGAATGGTAGTAGCTCAGCACGACAACCAGGTCTGCGGTGGTATCTATAGATATTTTAGGAACGGGTAGAAGAGATTGGAAGGAAAGAAAGTAATTCAAGGGAAAGGGATGACTTACAGCTTATCTTGAAGAACGAATAGCACACCAAGTATGTGTCGGCCATGCCAATAGAAGCAATCACCATGTGACTGATCATTTCCAACACCAGACCACCCAGACAGGTGACCAAATGGACGGGCAGCAGGTTTGGATTTTCCTGAAAGAAAGTACTACGCTTAGATAAGAAGAGCGAATTTAAATATATGAAACATTTCCCAGTCCTAATAAAAATATATCTAGTACATTTTCATTTTAAATAATGACGCAGACCCGCATTTTCTAACTACCCATAACGACCCGAATTTTTGTTAAAAATAACTTTTCCTTAAAATAGTTTTACATTTTTTTCTGAAAATCAAATATTTAAAGTCCTATCACTTTTCAAAAGATTTATAAAATTTTATAGTTTGACCCGTTTTTTTTGCTTTTTTATAATTATAATTTTTTGGCGAAAAGTGGTCAAAAATAAAAATGCTCAGGTTTGAATGCCAATCGATTGGGAACTAAATTTTTTCTTGATACCACATTTAAATTGACTGATTGCTTACCCTATAAATCGCTGTGAAAAGAACCATATCCGACAGGACACTCCAGATTGCGGATATAATCCAGATGATCAAAATATCACCACAGAACTGGTCCTTACTAAATATGGCCCACAAGGATTCCAAAATATCTACGGTTAGGCCTGAATACGCAATTATCATGGCACCGGTTCGTAACCTTAGGCAACAGCAGCACTTGTTAATCAATGTCATCCTGAAATGAAATGGAATTTTTTAGTAAATTGGTTTTTTAACAACGCGGGACTTACGTGACAATTCTGACGACTTTTGGCTGTAACTCTTTCGAGTTCCATTGACCAATTTTCGAATTTCCTACATTTGACAATTTTTGGAAAGCAAACCTTTTGACCAATTAAAATAAACAAAATAAGTGGGAAAAATCCCGCACTTCCCTTAGTGTCTTGTGTACATATTTATGGTTTTATTGTTTATGAAAAGAGTTGACAACATTTTAAAAGCAGCTTAGTAAAACAAAAAAACAAACTAGTTTTGTTAGAAGGCTTTTAGAATTAGAAATTAGGGAAATCTAAATGCAACCGACATTTATAAATCACATAAATAATCACAGTTTAATTGCTTTCAGCATTGTTTGCTTTGGAAAACTTTGCAAAAATTGTAAAGATAATTGAAATCTAGATCCCTTTTCTTATCAGTCAAAAGCTAAGGACTTCATTTTCATATTTTCTATAACCAGATAGAGTTGTAGTTTGGCTCGCCTAGCATTTATCAAAATTTAAAGTATTGAAAAAAAAGAGTAAAAAGATGAGGCCCCTGAAATCTTCCCGTAAGAAACGCCTTGTGCCGCTCTCATCGGATCTAAACAAGGACATGAGGAATGAGTACCAAAGACCAGCCGGAAATCATCGAGAGGTCGAGTGTGTGGGCGATAGCAGAGAAACTGGAAGAGGAATGCCCTCCACTTTCCCACAACCACTACCTCTAGAAATCAGGCGACGCGTTGAGGGATTGGCCGAAGGACCCCTTGTTTTATCACCTCCTCCCGTTTCATTGACCATCTCACCCAAATCCAAACCGAAGTCAAGGAAAGTCAGACCCATCAAGGAGCAGAAATTGGAGGATTCCATGATAGAACTCTGGGTTCGGGATCCCGCCGTTAATAACTTGGCCCAAAGAGTTCGCTCATCCTTTGCCAAAAATATTGGAAGACCCGAGAAGCTGACGCCCAGCATGGTTTTGGCCAAGTTGGAGACACGCTTGAATACCTTGGCAAATGGAATGCGATCACTTCAAAGGTGGATGCCCATCCTGATCGATCAGAATAGGAAGCTTATTAAGGCCAAAAATCCCTGCTTTACTTCCCAATCCTCTGTATCGTTGTCCATGGTTTCCCGTTCGGATCTGATCCTCAACAGCAGCTCCTCCGATGAGTACAGGTCCATTTCGGAGCTAAATCTACGGGGTGATCCTTCGTTGGAGATGGAGGAACGCAATAGCACCCGGGAGCTCTACTACGACATGCAGATGCATCTGGTCAACATGCTCGTGGTGCCCAAGTCCCATACCTCACTGCTCCTCAACCAGCGAAAGGAAGCGATGTGCCAATGGAAAGGAGGACGTGGTGGCCATTGGCGGCATCAATATACAGATCAGGATTGGCAGCGGGATCTCGACGCGGCCGCCTTCCTCACTGGGAACTCCAAGAATGTGCGTCGTCAGTGAAAGTAAAAGATTTCTTTATTTTCCTCAAAACAAATTGAGAAATTGTGCCCGTCATGGGAGGAGAAAAAAGGGGAAGGGGGGTCCGGAATTCAGTCGAGAAAAGCTTTTAGCTGGGACATCTTGTCTGCGGTTAGGGCTAAAACAAAAGCCGTGTTTTTCCATGGCACACTTTTTTCATAGATATTCGTCATGTGTGAACTTTCTTCTGTGGCATCTCTCCAAAAAGGGTTACACGGGTTCAATTCCAGTTCTTTTGAGACCAGAAATCATAAAAAACATTTCAAGAATATTAAAAACTAGGTAAAATAATTAAATTTAAATCAAGCTTTAATAAATAGAAAGTTTAATTGGTAAATAAATGTAGCAAAGAATAAAAATTCGATATGAAATAGAATAATTTCTATCTTATCAACCTTATCATATCAATTAAAAGCCGATATGATTAATGTCAAATTTATGATTCAAACATATCAACGTGATATTTTATCATTTCATAAAAGGTTTAAAAATACTGTTTTAAAATACCAAATTTATAATTTGTTGAACAAATATTGTAAAATAAGATAGACATAATCTTTTTCTATATCAAAATGATATGAATAACTAGATCTTTATTAAATTAACCTGCACATATCAACTGATCTTTTATTGATATTTGTTCTGTGTTATAGAAAATTAGGGAAATGTACAGATGTCATTATAAAGCGCTTTGATACTTAGCACCTTATTTCTCTCAGTGTGGATTCCAACTTTTACCCATTTGACAGCCATTTCCCTGACATTGCATGTCGATCAGGCGAAATTCCTGCATCCTCCCCCCACCGCCGGCAAACATTTGCCAATTTGGGCTTGAAAGTAATGATTTTTATTACTGCCGCGGCAACATTGAAAATGTTCCCCCACCTGGAGTCACTTCGTCATGTTCGTGGTGCGGCGATAACCGCGGGCTCTTTGCATTTTGGCCAAATATTAGCACACAATTCGATTTTGCATGCCAACCTCCACTGGATTGGGAGTAGGGTCTCTAGAGGGGAGCCACCAGTCAATTTCCACCAGTGCAAGTGGCGAGTGGAGTTTTCCATGACACTCCATGATCTCTCCACTGTCCTCCGGCAGCTGTGCGCTTTTCGCTTTCACCTGTTGGCCTGAGTTATGTAAAAATCCACTGTCAAATTAATGGTGATTTATATATGCGGTTTAATGGGCACTTGGCATGGGATGCGGGCACTCCGTTAACGGCGATCATAAGCGCGGTGTGAATGTGCTGAATAGATTGGCCTTAAACTGTTGCTGTGGGTGAATTATTTTGAGTTAGCCCAGAAAGGAGAGTAAATTGTTCGGTTAGTAATTTCAAAGTCGGTGGAGAAAGGTCAGAATAAGTTGTCTAGAAAAGAAGCAAAAGGATATTTATTACATTTCTATTATTTTACATTATATTTATTTTATCAGGTAAATATTAAAAATGAAATTTCTCACAAATTCTTTTTGAATTTCTAAATCATATTTAGGGCCGGTTTCTCGAGTGCCGGGTAACATTTCTCGAACAGATAAAGTCCCTGCTAAGGCATTTTGGCTTTCTCGAGCATAAATGTGAGAGCTAACTTTGACAGGGACTCGGAGTCCCTGTTAAGCGTTTTCGACTCGACAGAATGACAGCTGATTTCCCAAAGCCAACTATGAAGATGAAACGAAATCACAGCTGACTTTTCCTTTAAATTATACCCAAACAGCTGATGAAATAATCGAAGCACGCCATTTTTTACCCTTCACAGCACAATTCTGTGCGTTAACAGCACTCTGTAATTGTTTCTCGTTCAGATAAATTAAAGCAGTCGAGAAAGCCGATTTGCTTTTACGAACAGTTTATCTGGTATTTAAGTTTTTCGAACAGATAGCTATCAGGGACTTTGACAGGGACTCGAGAAACCGGCCCTTAATGTTGCTTTCAATTTTCTTGACCAGACACAAGTTACATATATGTAAAATTTCCTAGATTGTCAAATTTTAAATTAAATTTGTTTTAAGTTTTATCAAAATTTAGATGATTCTGGATAAATACAAAAGTTTTAAATAATTGATTAAAATTTCGCTGCCTTTATTTACAAGTTTATAAAATTCTATTAATGCTGATTGCAGTGTTTTTAACTTGCTTACGAAATGTAAAAATTATTCAATTAAACTTCCAGTGACTTTAAAGTGTGGAATGGGTTTTCACATCCTTCGATACCCATTCAACAGACCCCGCTCCCAATAATTCCTTGTAATGCAAGGTCGGTTTCGACCTGAACATCACCCAACAAGTGGTCCCGCTTAATCCGTCGTTTAGTTGGACACCCGCGGAATGTTAAACCCATGCACTTAGCGATAATCCAAGTCAAACAAAATGCCTACAAGTGGTCGGGGATTATGGTGGAGAGGATTGGGCTGCCGGAGCATGTCGGGGGCAATTACCTGGGCCTGAACCTGGACCTGTCCACGAGTGACTGATGATGGGACCCAGACATCTTCGCAGGCGTCGCGACAAAATGCCACCGCACTCAAATCCATGGCTCTCGCGATTGGTGACAATAAAAGTGCTAGGCAATTTGCGAATGCGTCTCTAATTGAGCCCACTGGGGATGCAATTGGTAGATAAATTATACACAGTAAGAAAATATTATTGATATTAATATTATTATTTGAAATTCGTCTATTGTTATTATTATTTTTTATAAATACAAATATATGTCTTTAAATCAAGTTAAAGTTTAAGTTTAAAGATTCCTATTTTGTATATTTCCTTTTCGATTTCCTCATTAAATCAGACAGTATTATACATATGTACAAATTAATAAAATAAGTTAATAATATTATTATTGTTTGATATTCCTCTATTGTAATTTATATTTTTGTATAATACTTTAAAATTGTTGGTTAATTTATTTTTCAACCTGCTGCTTAATTTTATTAATATAAAATACCCACATTTATTTGGAAATTATTGGAAAAATATATTCATCCAGGTGCAGTTGCTCATGTAAATTAGCCGGAACGCTTTTAGAAAGGAGTTCGAGATGTCAGGACTTTGATTTAGTCAGAGAGCCGTGAAGGCTCTACATTTCTTAGCTCGCCTGCCAGGTGACAATCAGCTGGTATATTTTAACTCGAAATTATTTCTTTAATTTTGCGCACACATGAGCGGAAAAGCAGGGGCATTTTCAGGGGGCGGGGAAGAAAGAGAAGTTGGACCTAGTGCGATTGGAATTTCATTTAGAAAGTTGCACTGGGAAGTCGATGTGGTTGTTGGGGGTTTAATTTGCATTTGCCAACTCTGAGCGACATTTGGGCAGGGAAGAAATGAGGGGGGAAACTGAAACCGAAGCCCAGACAGGCGACATTCTTCTCCTCCATTCACTTTTCACTTGGGCCAAACAAAAAGCCGTTTAGCCGCAATTGGGTCATTTAATAATACTCGTAATCGTAAAGAGGGGCTCACGATTTCCTATTCTAATTCCGTCAATCATCCGCCGCTGCAACTGTTTTTATTTTTTTCTCCCTCCTCTGCTCTATTTGATCTTGATTTTGATCTTTAACTTGTCTTGACGCATATTTGATTTTGCCACACCCCACACTCCCCCGTATTTTCTCCGCCTTTTCTTCTTTCCAGCGAAATGCTTTCTACTCTTTTTCTACTGATTGTCTTTGTCTCTCGGCTGAAACGCTTGGCTTTAATGGTTTTTGATTGATTATCGCGTGCCATGGGTGCTCCAATCTCTGTGGGTGCTCTATAGCCATAGAGCTATGGAGCTATGGATCTCCAGGTGGTGTCGCTTGGCCCACGATCGAATCTCTTCTTTTGTTGGCTTTCATTTGAAGTCCGCTTAATTAGCCCGATATGTGTGTGCCTGCCTTGTTGACTCCCTGCACGTGCTGTGATCTCCTCCATATGAAAGATATAATGTGATGTCAGTTCCTGGTACAGAAAAACCACTTGGGCAGGCATGAGTGGGCACATCGAATCGATTGGAGAAGTTCAAAGTTGAAACTTGTTGTACAAGTTGGAGCAGTTGGGGTAAACTACGTGACGCATGTTCCATTGGAGGTGGCTTTGGAAATTTCTTTCGAGGAAGTTGTAGTCCATTAAAATTGATTAATCCAAGAATAATTTGAATTTTATTTTGAAAAATTCATTCAATTCAAAATATAAGATTTTATTCACTGCTTGAATTTTTATTATTTTTAATTATTACTTACTTACTTACATAATTATTTATTACTTTTTTTCATTGTTAACATCTTAAAAATATTTTCCCCAATAAAGTTTCTATGTTCCTATTTCCAAGTCATAAATCATTTTTCGTAACTTTAAAATCTATTAATTCAAGAAGCTTAGGTTTAAAGATAATTAATAGTACATTTCCCCATTAAAATGTATTATTTCTTATAACCAAATCTACAAATCCTATAATTTTTAATTTTATAGAAAAAATCGATTAATTTTCGATTTAAAAGTTAAGATTTTAAAACTTAGTTCCTAACTTTTATTGAATCTAAAAAACATATTTTATATTTTCTTGTTTCATTAGTTAAATTAAAGCTGGATATCCCATTAATCCCATTAAAATTTATTTGATCCTATTTCTAAATCAGTAAATCCTATTAATTTAAAAAAAAGCATCCTAACAAAAAGGTCAAAGTCTAAAAAACTATTAAGAATTGATGGGTAATTCTCTGAAAACACTAAACCGAATTAATTTTCCATTAAAGGCCCCGATAATCCGGCTTCCATATTACTTTTCCTGCCTGTCGCGACTTTCCACTCATTATGAATGTAAGTTGACAGTTTTGGCCCGCAGTTCATCGATGGCTGCATCTCAATCGCGGCCATCAAATGACTCTGACTTTCCCGACCAGCCATCTCATCACAATAATGTCCTCCTAGTCGGTGAAATCAAATCTCAGCGAGTGTGCTGTCAAAATGTTATTCAACCAGGGAGTTTGGTGGCGGGGTTACCAAACTACCCACTACATATGTCAACACGATGAACTTGAAACCCACTTGAAGACCCACCGAAGACCCGAAAGCCAAGGAGCACAGGAGCCGAAAAGCGCAGTTGCAGTTGCCTCTAAAAGCATTTTGTATTCTAATTAGATTGTCAGCGGCACGACAACAACCTCATTTTGGCTCACAAAATGCCTTTTCACATTTGCATTAGCGCCAACGTGAGGAGAGAAGACAAAAATCTACATAAACTTTGGACAGTTGGTCGGGAGTGCACTGAGAAACAATGTATTCTTAAACTGGAAATAACTTACTATATTCTGAAATTGTAAATGTTTTTTATAAATCAAAAATAAATATTTTATATCATCTTTTATATCTTTTATATCATGTATTCATTTCCTTATAAATATCTTTCCAGTTCTTATTTTTATAAATCAAGTGGATAACTTTTTATTATTTATGTGATTACTATATTACTATTACTATATTATTACTATATTATTAATCACCTTCATATAAATATCTTTCAAGTTTACATATATATATAAAAATATATATAAAATAAATATGAAAAAAAAACTATATACTGTTGAATTCTAATTTAATTTCTTTAACAATCTTGATTAAAAATGTTTCGCATGTTCCGACCATATTTTCGCACAGTGTTTGAGAGTAGGAGTTTGCAGTTTGAAGTTCATTAACATGCACAGGTTAATTACCGTTGTTGTTGGCCGCTCGAGGAAATGAGCCATTAGAGGAGGGGACTTCGAGCGCCGCAGTAGCAAAAGCCGGCGATAAAACTGGCTAAAAGCATACATAAAAAGACACATGTTACGTGGTAATGGTAAGAGTGTGTGTATGGTTTGGGCCTTATTTTTGCGGCGCGGGAAGGACTGTGACAAATGCTTAAGCCCGAGGAGGAGGACGTGCCTGTGGCCACTGCGCTTTCCTGGCCAACATGCAAAATGTTGCACTGATAAGAGACACAAAGCCAAGGAGTCATCCCGTTTGCCGTTTTGCAGCTTTGCAGTTGGCCAACTGCAGCGGTAAATGAGCATCTGAGCATCCCGGGCACGATCATTAAAACAAAAGCGGCAGCCGAGGAGCCATCTCGCTGACAAGCCATGACCAAGAGCAATGGCCAACAAAAAAAGGGGTGGACTTTTTAAGAGGACTTCGACTTTCAGATACCTGGCATTCAGAACTGTTCTTAAAGCATTCAAAAGATTATAAAAGCAATAATTTAAGTCGTCATGTTGTTTCTTACTCTCTTTTTAGAAATCAGAGAATCTACGGGTGAGATTAATATCAATTTTACCAGTATTGACCAGAAGAAATACCAGAAACTTACCATGAGCATATCTATTTGATCACAGCGTATTTTTTGTAGAATTTTTGAAGAGAGGAAATCCTAGACTCATAACTTTTCCATATAAATTTTATATTATTGAATAATAAACATGGTAGGTAATACATTTATTGAACCCTTGAAGAAAAAAATTCCTGAAATATTTTAATACTTGTTTTTGATTGTATACAAATTTTAAATTTAACTTAACGATATTTCCTCCAGACTACATCATTAATTTCCTTAAGTTCTATATACCCTTTGTGTCCCTAACTTATAGGGTATCCTAAATAAATACAACAGTAGAGCAGCAGGCAGCTACCAAGTTTGTGCCTTCTGGTGTTGGATTGCCTTAAACGATCCGCGTGAATAACTAATTTCAATGGAGTCTGTGCCGCCGCCGCTACTCGCCTCGCAACATTTATCACCCACCATCGGCGCAGAAGTCCCGAGACTTCCAGCCAGAAGCTATAACCAAAGCCTCCGAGGAGCCCTAATCCGAAATCCCACAAGACAATGGGACAGTTCATTTATTTTTTTGTCGCTCCTCGACCACTTTTTGTCCGCCTGCCCGCCGCAGACAATAAAAAGTTAGTGCCGGACTGCGTAGGACATGCAAAAAGTATACAAAAACGCATTGGGCCAGGGGATCGGTCTTAATGAGCCGAAATGGGGGACTAGCAAAAAGGAGCTGACTGCAAAGTGTGGTCAAGATAAGTTTCCTGAAAACAGATTTAGCTGGAGAACAAGTATGCCTGAGCTTTATGTTAAGAAGCAGTGATCTATAAACAGAGATCTGGCCTACAAGATTATCAAATTATTTTTTTAGAACTGGTATTATGATAAGAATAGGACGGAACTAACATTCTTTTAAGACGTGGTTTAATATTATAATTAAAAGTTTAATATTTTGTAAAGGAAAATAATAATATAATTAATTTTATTTATTCAACAGTTTTAATAATTTAATTAATATTTATTCATTTTAATTTCACATCATGTTTCTGCTTAAAAGTATTTAATATTTGCACGTAAATATAATAAAAAAAAAAACAAAAATGGTACAGAATATAACGAATAAAAAACAATAATACTTTATAGATCCAAAGCAGTGGGTCTGGTGAAGTAGATGGTGCTCTTCTTGTCCGCCGTGAGGGCCACCAAAATATTTTCCACCTCGCACTCGGAGTTATACAGATAGGCCTCGGTGAACTTGGTGTTGGCATGGCCATGTTTGGTATATTGATGCGGGGCCTGATTGACGGTCACCAGTTCGAAGGCCTCGCGGCAGGCGTCCTTATCGCGATAGTTCTCATTGTAATAACCAAAGGGTATCAGATTGGATAGCTTTGCATGCGGCGTGGTGATCTCGCCAATCAAATGACGGGTCACCTGATTGCTGGTAACACTGTCCAGATTCTCCTGCGGTTCCGAGATATAACCCCTGAAGGTGGAACCCTCGATCTGGACATCCAGGAAGTAGATGGCATTGCTGATCAGCGGGAAAGTGCTGTTGAAGCACTTGTAGCCAATGCCCTCGCCTCCAAAAGTACTGCATTCGAAGTTATCACCTGAAGTCGCATTCGAAGCATCCCAAACGGAAAACAGAACCGTATATTTAGAGCTCTTGTCGTAGTTCTGCAGTCCTATATAGCCACTCGATTCGGAGGTGTAGAACTGCAGGAAGTTGTAGACGCCATCGTTACGGGGATTTGGACTGGTCATCCACTGGAAAATACTGCGAATCCCAATGAATCCGTATTCCTGGTACTCAATAATGGTCCTCGCGTTGCCCAGAACATCGTTAAATCGCGGGGAACCGGCACTCAACTGCTCCTGGCGAAGGACACTCATAAACTGGGACATATTCTCCTCCGCTTCCTGACGACTTGGCTGTACAGCCAGGATTCCGGCCAGGCAGAAAGCCCAAACTACTAGGAAAACTTGTGAAAATTTCGTAGATGCAACCATTGTGGAATTCGATTGATTTCTGACTATTTGCCGACTGAACGGCACACTTTTTATATGCGGAAAATTGAGTGTTTATTTTCCAATTGATAGTGATTCGCAATCGAATGATAAGAACCCACTCAATTGGCTAAGCTCCGAGGTAATCACAACACGTAAACTATAAATCATGGTTACAAAACTCAAAGTTATACAATTAATTTCTTGCCAATATAAAAAATATTTGCTTGATTTTATAGCTAACTAACTAATTTATAGATGGTAGTAAATAATAAAAGCCTTACTATTATAATAATAATTGAATTATTCTGTTGACTGTTTTATTAGTTAAATTAATTTCATTAAATAAATTTATTAATTAATCTTGATATTACCACCATGGTTTTTTTAAAAAAAGATCTATAAAATATATTTTTAAAATAATAATTAGGGAATACCTACTTTAGTTTATATCTTATTCAAATACTCAAGCTTTGGCTTTAAGTGTCCTTTAGTGAAAAGCCTTTTTGACTGATAAGAGCCCATTCAATTGGCAAATAATAACCAATACGGTTAGTTATTTCGCGTTGATAGTTATGAAAGCCTTAAATCGAGGGTATTGGCCCAGACACTCGAATTGTTATTGACCCACAAACTGCTGGGCTGCAAAAATTCCACTCGGATCAAGGTCCGTAACCCGAAGTCAAGAGCAAAGCGGCAGAGTTCAAGTCATAACTCAGCAATCCTCCCCAGCCTGATCCCCATTCCCATTCCCATCCCGATCTTCATCCGCGGCATCAGCAGTCAGAGAACGTAGCACTAAATCAAGCCCACATGGAGTTCAGGCCATGCGACCAGCATCAGTTGTTCCCTCGCTTTTTGACAGTTTTGCGCACAGTAGCAGTTGCAGTTGAAGTGGAAGTGCCAGAGTCCCTAGACCCGAGAACAGTAGCAGAGTGCAAGTGCACTTAAAAAAAATGTATCTTAAATCTTAAAAATAAAATTGGAATTTAAAATGTATCTTTATCTTGTTTTTAGTAACTTTTAGTCACCAAAAAATTTTTCTTGATCGGATCTTTAAATTATTTCTTTATTTATATCTTATTATTTATGATATAAATAAATATCCTTAAATTCTATTTATATAAATTAACATAAATATAAAAAAAATGTTTAAAGGTTGCCTAAACAAAATTAAATTCAAAACATAAAGGAAAATAAGTGAACACAGCATTTTAACATTTCATTAACTTGAATAACACTGTTTTCCAAAATGTGACCTTTCTTTTATTTTTATCTAAATGAGAGCTTAACCAATAGTGCGAACCAATACGATCCGGTTTGAATGACCAATTTTTGAATATGTTTACAAAAGTACTTTCCTATTATTTCTATATTTTTGACTACCATTAATTCTTCGAATACACAGCTTTTAAATCTTTTCTTCCCAATTAATTTTTGTTTTTTTCAACGTTGTTATTTTAAAAAGAATTACATAGCCCCAAAGGGATTTTTGATCTATAAGTGGAAAAGTTCAATGTTCTAGGTCTCCTTCACATTTTTGGTGCAGCGTACAAGCCATAGTCATAGAAACCGTCATCATCATGTTGACTGTGGCATGATAAACGCAAGCTGGGCCCAGAAAACGAAGGCGCAGGCTGAACATGTGTTGCCTGTCGAAGATTCAGCCGGAACGCGACCCACAGTTTGGCCTGGTCTACGAGAGTCCACGAGACTTACGAGTGGCTCTCAATGGCTGCACTTTTTTGTCCTCTACTCTCGGTTCACTGGAACTCTCACAAAACCTTTCGGTGGCTCACATAAATTTTAAATATCCGCGAAAGATGCGCCCAGTGAGTTGGCCCACCACCATATTTGGCCATACGTCCAATGCAGTTTTTAGTCATTTTTATTGACCCAAGGGAACAGAAAACAGCCATAAGCCAGTGGCTGCTCATTAGTGGCTTTCGGGGGCACATCGGGGCGTATGAGTAATGCCCCGCAATTTGCACGCCTTGAAAGGATTAATTCGTTAACAATTTTTCGCCGCTGTAATATGCAAGACAAAACCAATAAATCTATTAATTAAGCCGACATTTGTTTAGCATCTGTTGCGATTTCCTTTTCGCTCTCTGAACAATTTGATAAATATATGCCCAGTTTTCGAGAGTCGAGAGTCTCTGGTCTCGGTTTCCGAAGTCGATTTGCTGAAATTTAAGACAGTGGGTGGTCCGGATTGGAAACGCTTTTTCGGCTGAATGAATCAACTGAAGGTACAGTGGGGCAAAATATATAAAACTAAACAAAATAAAAAAAATTATTTTCAATATTTTAAGGATTTTTATAATTAAAAAAATAATACTTAAATAGGGCTTAAGTTAATCTTATTTAAGGTATAGCATTAATTTACTGCTAATAACAAAAAAAATAATAATATAGTATTAATAAAATATTAAAAAAAAAAAAATAACTCCAATCCTCTCCTGAAGAATTCGCGTATTTTATTTTCCTAGCTTTTGCATAGTTGATATGGTTTTTCCTATACATTTTACCCACTGTTCTGGGCACAATAAACCAATTGCCGAGAAGTAACAACCAACTTCTGGTGGCCGCGTGGTGTGTATAAATTTGCCAAATTAAAAAGCGACAGCAAGAAGGTTTTTCTATGGGGGGCAGCTGGGTGTTTTTGGGTGGTTTCGAGATCGAGAGTTGTGAGTCGCAAGTCGCAATGCCACCCACCGCCGCCCCCAGAAATGACGCAACAGGGAGCCCATTCGCAGGCGTCTATAAATAAACCAACCGCCAGAGTAAATCAAAACAAGGCACGAACATGTGGCGCTTGCAGTTTTCCAGCCAGGATCAAGTGGGCCGACTGGGATTGGGATTTCGAATGGTATTGGTATTGGTAGTTAAGATCTCGGGTGTGGTCGCCGCCGTGATATGTGCCCAGAATTGGATCGGATTTGGTGGATTTGTCATCCCCATCTGGGCCCATAAATTCGTTACGCATTTTCCTTGGCCAACCAACTTACACAATGCGGCCATAATGTTTCCAATACGGCTTTTGATCTGGCCCGTTGTCAACATCTTATTCCCATCCTGACATGATTGATTTTTCATGTAACCGGCAAAGTGGAAGCCCCTCTTGGGTCAGTTGGGGACTTTCTAAAAAAATATTTCACTCCGGGTCTGGCCCACTCATCAAAATTGCAATGGGCACTGAAAAAATATTTGATTTATTAAAATTTTTAATAATTACATATGTATTTTAATTAATTTTCATAGCTGCTTTTTAAAAGTTTAAGTGTTTAGACGTCTTCAATAAATTAAATTATATTATTTAAATATACCTAAATATTTTAAATTTGTTTGTCTTTCTGTGTGCGAAAAAATGGCAAATATTTTTGTAAAAACCGCGGCCAACAGAGGTTTTTAGCCATATTTGGTAGCAAAAAGCATATCCATTCACACCTCCCACTCAAAGGCGGCATAACCATTAAATCAACATCAAATTCTGGTGGCAGTAAAAGTGCCTTAAAACGTTTGTAATTGAAATTTATTGTGCCGCAAGTGTTGCACAAATTATTTTGTTTGATATGGCCGAGGAATAGATCGATAGATATATAAGTAGATACCGATCCCAGATCGAGGATCCAAGTGGGTTTTGCCGCCAATCGAATCGTCGCTTAGTGGAGCAATCAATCGACTATATATGGTCGGCTGACTGGGGAAAACACTTAGCCAAGACGATTTCATTTGGCTTTATGGCCAACCAAAATCGGACATGTGAGAAAAACTAAGGCAGCTGAGAGCTAAGAGCCGAGGTAGAAAGAAGAATTGGGCTGGGAAAAAGTTATTAATATGGGTCGATTGCCCCGGGGCAACGAAAAGCGGCAGACTCTTCTAGTTGGCTTCCAATTTTGGTAGCTTGATTTGTCACGATGCTTTTTTCTGGTTTCCTTGCATTTCGTTTTTTTTCCTTTTTTTTTGCCAACCGGGAGAGGACAAACAAATTGGTCTGTAGTTGAAAATTGACAAGAATTTCGTGACTTTGTCACCTCTTTTTCCCTTTTTTTTTTGAGGTTTTTTTTTTGTTTTTCTGCCGAGATCTTACAACGCCCTCGAAGGCAGCAGGAGCTTTCTTTCCTTGTGGCCTCCGCTCGTTAAGTGGCAGGCAGCGCGTGCGCATTAAAGTCGCTCCACCGGCTTCAAGTTGGGTTCCCTCTAGTCCCCTTAACCCCCCTTTATACCCCACAGCCTGCGCCCCCGCCCCTGGAAATCACTTCATCATCGGACATCGGGCCATTCTAAAGTCAAAGCTGCGACTGAAAAACTTTTGTCAGATTTATTTCTCGGTTTCGTTGGTGTTTCTTTTTACTGCTGCCGGTGTTGTTGTTGTTGTTTTGGCCAAGTTGTATAGTGTACACTATTCCCATACTCTGTGGTTAAGGGTCTTTGAGTGATATTGAGAGGAAATAAAAACTTTAAACGGAACTTTTCTGAATATTTTGGTTTTCCTATTACAATATTGTTATTATTGATAGTATTTATATTAAACCAAGTACATCGGGAACACAGTATTATTTATAATTATAAATATTATTTAAAATATTAAACAATTGAAAAAAAATAATAATATTATTAAAATTGTATTGCAAGTTTTAAATGTTTTATAGCTTTAACAAATAACATAAATGTATAAAAATAAGTAAAAAACAATAATTAGGAAAATACCTCTAAATTAAAGAATTTCATCAGTAAGGGCATGAAAAGTTCCCCCACGGATACAATGATTTCCTGCTTACTTCATTTGGTTTATTGTGATTTTTATTTCTTATCCCTTTCTTCGGTTCGTTTGGTTTTTTGTGTGTTGGCTCTACCTGTAACCTTTTGCACTTGGTACCCTTTTTTCAATTTAATGAATTTTTTTCGCCGTCGTTTTCTTTTTTCTTTTTCTGCACCCAGTGACAGGCTACAAGAGGCTAAGGTTGCGGGGAAATCGGGAAGTCTGGGCACTGGATACT